TCACTGACAGCCCATTTATCCTTTGCATTCATAGCTGCTACCCATGCACAACCCATTTATCCATTGCATTCATAGCTGCTACCCCTGCACAACCCGTGTATCCATTGCATTCATAGCTGCTACCCCTGCACAACCCGTGTATCCATTGCGTTCATCGCTGCTACCCCTGCACAACCAATGTATTCTTTGCATTCATAGCTGCTACCCCTGCACAACCCATGTATCCTTTGCATGCATAGCTGCTACCCCTGCACAACCGATGTATTCTTTGCATTCATAGCTGCTACCCCTGCACAACCCATGTATCCATTGCATGCATAGCTGCTACACCTGCACAACCAATCTATTCTTTGAATTCATAGCTGCTACCCCTGCACAACCCATGTATCCATTGCATTCACAGCTGCTACCACTGCATAGTCCATTTATCCATTACATTCAAAGTTGCTACACCTGTACAACCCATTTATCCTTTGCATTCATAGCTTCTACCCCTGCTCATCCCATTTATCCATTGCATTCATAGCTGCTACATTTGCACAACCCATTTATTCTTTGCATTCATAGCTGCTATATTTACACAGCCTTAATTTTAGAGCCAACAGACACAATTTGAGTCAATTTTTAGTTTTTACTAAAACAAATTTGGTTATTTTTGTCCCAATCTTCTAAAAGAAAGTGTAGACTATAAACGGGATTATTTTGGTAATCTGTGGTGGAAAGGTGGTGGTTAACCAGTGCTCATTTCTATTTTACCTCTGTTATTCTTTCGAAATTCTATATGTAGATACATTGTGTTGACCTCTCTCATACATCTTATCTTATTTATTGCAATATTATAGTTTTCTCTGATTTAGTGAATATTTTGGCCGTTTTTGATACATTTTTTCGGCTTGTTTGAAACCCGTCTGTATATACATTAGGAGTAGCTGTGTCAAATTCGTAGTGTTTAACGATATCTTCAATTCAACTTCTTCTATTATTTTATCAGAATATTTGCTGAATGTGTTTCAGACCGAGTAGAGCTATGTGATGTGTGTTTGCTGATGTATTGGAACATGCAGTATAAATTCAATGAAATGAAATATGATGGTTGACAAATGGACATTCGTCATATG